TTGTATGTAAATGGCCCAGTTAAGGTAATTCAAGATATTCCGTGATAATTCACTGTCAATTCAAACGTGATGAAAATATTTGATCAGCACATTTTTAGCACATTTCAATTGTGAGTCAGTCAGTCCGAACAAATCGTTTAAGAAACTCTCTGGGCAATATGTTTTGGATTTTTATTGTTTAACGCAGAGAGAGAGAGAGATGAATTTAAGGTTTTTGTAGTGTGGGAGATAACTGGGTCACTTCACAGGTTATTGACATAAGCTTAAAAAAAAATACACGTTTGGATTGATGTTAATTAAAAAAATTAAATTTAACAAAAATTATTATTATTATAGTTTTTACAAAAAAAAAAAAAAAATTATTTGTATACCCTACACAACTATGTTGTCAGGGTATTATAGCTTTGTGCAGCCCCAAGAGTTTGTAACGCCTTTAAGTATACCGATCGTCATATATCGACCAGCTGATTCGATCTAGACATGTGTGTCCGTCTGTCCATTATAATTTGTAAACACGATACAGGCCACAGTTATGGACCAATCTTCACGAAATTTTGCATGTAGGATGGGTTCTGGCCAATGAAGACCTCCATTGTTTCTGGTAAAGATCGAATGATATTTAGGGGATGAAATGGACCAAATATTAAATTTTTGTAAATTTTTCTGGTCGCTCCAGAGACCGCAATTATGGTCCAAACATCGCGATTTTCTGTGGTACAGGGTATTATGTCTTTGTGCATATGTTTGTAACAGGCGAAAGGAGACGGTATAGACACATGGTTCCTTTTGAGAATATGCATGGAATCAATTTTTTAAGTCGATTCATGCATGTCCGTCCGTCTGTCGGTCCATGTTAAATTGTAAACAAATTACAGGTCGCATTTATGGTTCGAATTGGTTGAAATTTGGTACAGCTCATTTGTTTGGCCTAAGGAAATTGGGAAAAATCGGTTCAGATTTAGATATAGCTCCCATATATATTTTCGTCCGATTTAATGTAAATGGTGCACCAAAGTCCATTAATATCTTTCGATTTGCACGAAATGTGGCATGTAGGGTGTACCGAAGACCCTATATATCTTTTGATTTGCCCGAAATTTGGCATAGCGTAATGAATTAGTTCTAGAATCTTGTGAGTTAAGTTTCCTGAAAATCAATTCGGATTTAGATATAGCTCCGATATATATTTTCGTCCGATTTAATGTAAATGGTATACCAAAGTCCCTATATATCATCCGATTTGCACGAAAATTTTGCATAGCGTACTGAATTAGGCCTAGAATGATGTGTGTTGAGTTTCCCGAAAATCGGTTCAGATTTAGATATAGCTTCTATATCTAACCAAATGAAAAATTTAGTATCGGTTGCAGAATGACATGTTTATGGATCAAATTTCATTTTACTGGTCCTTTAAAAATATGACGTCTGTAAGGATTCATCTGTTGAATATACCCAAAGTGGTGAAAGGTATCGTATAGTCTGCCCCGTCGGACTTTACTACTTTCCTAACTGATTTTAAATTATTTTTTATGGTCTACCTATAGGCGTGGATTTGTATACCCTACACAACTATGTTGTCAGAGTATTATAGCTTTGTGCAGGCCCAAGAGTTTGTAACGCCGCGAAATATTGGTCCTAGACCCAACTTTAAGTACACCGATCGTCACATCTAGACTAGCTGAGTCAATCTAGACATATATGTCCGGCCATCCGTCCGTCCGTCTGTCCATTATAATTTGTAAACCCGATACAGGCCACAGTTATGGACCAATCTTCACGAAATTTTGCACGTAGAATGGGTTCTGCTCAATGAAGAGCCCTATTGTTTTCTGTAAAGGTCGGTTAATATTTAGGGGATGAAATGGACCAAATACTTAATTTTTGTACGTTTTTCTGGTTGCTCCAGAGACCGCATTAAGGGCCCGAACATCGTGAAGGGGATCGGGCCAAGGAAAGATCGATCAATATTTAGCTGGTCAAATGGACCCTGACTTTTGTATGAAAAATTGCAAAAGTTGTATTCTATGGCGTATATATTTGCCCCTCAAGGACATAGTTCCGAGAAGTTGATAGTATATCCGGGAGTAGTGGTTGACTTTTAAATTGATACTAATTATCAATTTAAAGGTCACCCACTACTCTGATGTGGGAGAGACACTTAAATATTTACAGGTGCATACGTATTCGTATATTATTTAGTAACCCATTACCACACTAGAGGGCAGAAATATAGCTCTAATCGCTTTGAAATTTTCCATAAGGACCCACGTATCGTCAAGGACCACGCCTATAATTTTCGACGATGATCAGATAATAATATTGGGATATTGGTGGAACGAAAACTTAATTTTTTGTATTTTTTTTTTCGAGTCGAAAGTCGAACATCACAACATAACCCACGGTGAAGGAATCTGGACAAATAATTAGAAGGGTTGTACTGAATATTAGTAATATTTGTTGACCTCTAGTCGGTCAATAGGGTGCAAATATGGCGAAATATTTGAAAAATCCACGCCAAAATATTTTTGGAATAAAATAATGAAAACCCCTATGATATTTACATACATACATATTGTTTTCAAAATATTTACATTTAATTATTTGCAATTACTTGCCAAAAGCCCAAAAACAACAACAATCGACTTAACTTCCTAGGCAAATTGGCAATGTTGTGAGTCGGCCAAGCTAATAGCTAACCTAGATTTTTCGGTATGGCTGAGGCTGAAAATTAATATTATTTTTTTTGTTTTTGTTTACAGATTTGTGTGTATGGAACAAGTGTGCTGCTAGCTGGGTTCGGCTATGGACCTGTTGTTGTTGTTGTTGCTATTGCTTGCAAATATTTACATTTATGATTATGGCTAGAGTTTGGCGAGTGAGAGAGATCCATGATTCTTGCCGGTGATGCTGCCGTTGTTTGATCGGTGAATTTAACTCCCCGTTGTTAGTGGAGATGAAATAGCTTAGCTTTCACTTAACCGGAATTTGTTGGTATTTCACTTGTAGTTTAAGGCAATTTGTAATGTTTGGCTAGCAAAATATACCATCCGGCAATATTGGTTATGGATAAGTTTTTTTCTTTTAGTTAATCAAGAGAATCGATTTTTTGATTATTTGGGTTTTATTGGTTTTTGAAAATATGTTAATTACCGGCGAAGGGTCAGTGGATATCTGTACATTTCTAAAATTAAATAAATGCGAAGGGAATACCAAAACAGTATCAGACAATTTTTTTAATTTTCCACGTTAATTAAAAAAATCGAAGAATATAGATGTGATTTTTATACCCTACACAACTATGTTGTCATTATACCCTACACAACTATGTTGTCAGGGTATTATAGCTTTGTGCAGCCCCAAAAGTTTGTAACGCCGCGAAATATTGGTCCTAGACCCACCTTTAAGTATACCGATCGTCATATCCCAAATAGCTGAGTCGATCTAGACATGTGTGTCCGTCCGTCCGTCCGTCTGTCCATTATAATTTGTAAAGACGACACAGGCCACAGTTATGGACCAAACTTCACGAAATTTTGCATGTAAGATGGGTTATGACCAATGAAGACCCCTATTGTAAAGATCGGTTAATATTTAGGGGATGAAATGGACCAAATATTAAATTTTTGTCGGTTTTTCTGGTGGCTCCAGAGGCCGCAGTTATGGTCCGAACATCGTGAAATTTTACATGGAGAAGGGGATCGGGCCTAAGAATAAGCATGCCTGTTTTGATAAAGATCGGTCAATATTTAGCGGGTCAAATGGTCCCTGACTTTTGTGTGAAAAATTACAACATTTTTATTCTGGGGCGTATATACTTGCTCCTGAAGGACATATACTCGAGATGTTGATAGTATGTCCAAGATGAGTTATTGACCTTCAAATTGATACAAATTATATGGCTGTATGCACTCCGATGCGGGAGTTATACGTAATTAAGTAAAGGTGACTATGTGCATATTATTACTATTACTCCATTACAGGACGGAAATGTCGCGCTGATAGCTTTGAAATTGTACATGAATTTCCGATTATGGTCAAGGATGACGCCTATAGTTTTCGGTGAAGTTGAGATTTCATTCAGGGGGTGCAGTGAACCGAAAACTTTAATTATGTCAAATTTTCTAGTCGCTCTAGAGGCAATTATTATATGCAGAACATCACATATTTTACAAGGTGAAGGGGATCTGACCAAATACTTAGAGTGGCTGTTTATATGATAATCGGCCAATTTTCCGAGGGTCAAATCAACCAAAACCTAAAGTGACCAATTTTTTATTTTATAGCGTAAAAATTGACTTTAAGAAAAATAGTTTGGAAAATATGCAAGACTTAGAAAGAGGAGTTGTTGATCTATAATCGGTAAAAAGGGTGCAAATATCACGAAATATTGCCCAGGCTCAGAATATAGAACCGCCGAAAGTGTGCTTTTCGTGGTAGTTGTGTAGGGTATCATATGGTCGGCCCCGTCCGACTATACTGCTCCGCTCACTGGTTTTTTAATATTTTTTTAAGGGTCAGACATAGTAGGCAAGCGCAAAAGGAAAAGCATTGCCCTGATTAAAAAAAAAATATTTTTTAAAAGTTAGACATAGGCGGGGATTTAAAAAAAAATATTTTTTGAGATATAGACGTAGGTATAGATTTTTATTTTTTTTTTCGCTCATAGTGGTAGGGATAGATTTTTAAAAAATATAAGCGCGGATCTTTTTAAAATATTTTTTCAGACATTCAGGGTCTGACATTGGCGTGGAATTTTTTTTAAATACTTGTTTACTTGTCTATATTTTTTATTTATATTTTATTATTATTATTTTTTTTTTCCAAAAAATACAACCCTGCCTTCATTTAAGGACAACCCTAATGCCCACCCGACAACATGTTGCCTTGGCAACAACATTTTCCCAAGGCGGTAGTAAAACAGTGTTTATTGTACACAAGGAATAGCTCAGCAAAGGAAAGGCAAAAACAATACGAACAAAAAAGCAAAAACCTGCCAAAAAATGGTTTCCCCGGGAAATTGGCTCCAGGTTGTCGACAATGAGCAACCAAAATTAAATACCCTACCATCCTGTGTCACCGTGAGTGACATAAAATCCGATAATTATGTTCGTCTTATTGCCACCGACATAGCCATTGATGAAGAACCACCAAGGGCCACACTGAAAGTATTCCGTGGCATAGATTTGGAATCGGAACATGAACTGAAGGGTATACCATCGGCTATTGTTAGTTTGTACATCGATGATTCGGAACCCAAAACGCCAAGTAAGTGGGGAATGAATTTTTAATAAATTGAGATTTTTTTATGACAAAAAAATCTGGTTTTAGTTGTTGCTGTGGCCATTGCCGAAGCGGTATTATTTTATCGTCACATTAAACCCTATTTCAAATATACCCTGCCTGAGCTGCCGGTATTGGACGAAGAGAGGGACATATGGCGTAAACTCAATTTGGTGGGAGTGGATGAACAGGAGGCTCTTATTGAACAATTGAAGACCTTGGAGCGTCCCAAGTTGACAAGGAAGTCTCAGCATTTGTTGAATCTTCTGCCACCGGAAATGAATGTGAGTAGAATTAAAAAAATATATTTTTATTTCGAGGGATTTTTTTTTTTTTGAAATATTTTCATAACCTTCAGGAAAAAGGAAACGAGATAGACACAGGGTTCCTTTTGAGAATATGCATAGAATTACTTTTTAAGCCGATTTATGCATGTCCGCCCGTATGTCTGTCCATGTTAAATTGTAAACAAAGTACTGGTCGCATTTATGATCCGAATTGAATGCAATTTAGCACAGCTCATTTATTTGGCCCAAGGTCGGACCCTATTGAAATTGGGAAAAATTTATTCAGATTTAGATATAGCTCCCATATATATTTTCGACCGATTTTAGGTAAATAGAGCACCAAAGTCCCTATATATTCTTCGATTTGCACAAAAATTGGCATAGCGTACTGAATTAAATCTAGAAATATGTAAGTTAAATTTCTTGAAAATCGGTTCAGATTTGGATATAGCTCCCATATATATTTTCGTCCGATTTTACGTAAATGGTGCACCAAAATCCCTATATATTCTTCGATTTGCACGAAAATTGGCATAGCGTACTGAATTGGACATAGAATGATTAATAGTGAGTTTCGGGAAAATCGGTTGAGATACAGATATAGCTCCTATATATATTTTCGTCCGATTTTACGTAAATGGTGCACCAAAGTCCCTATATATTCTTCGATTTGCACGAAAATTGGCATAGCGTACTGAATTGAACATAGAATGATTAATAGTGAGTTTCGGGAAAATCGGTTGAGATACAGATATATACTCCTATATATATTTTCGTCCGATTTAAAGTGAATAATGCACGAAAGACCCTATGTATCCATCAATTTGCACGAAATTTTGCATAGCGTACTGAATAAAGTCTAGAACGATGTGTGCTAAATTTGATGAAAATTGGTTCTGATTTAGATATAGCACCCATATATATTTTCGGCCGATTTTAGGCAAATAGGGCACCAACGTCCCTATATATCCTTCGATTTTCTCGAAATTTTGCATGGGGTACTAAATTAAGTCTAGAGTGATGTGTGTTAAGTTTCGTATAAATTGGTTCAGATTTAGATATAGCTCCCATATATATTTTCGTCCGATTTTAGGTGAATAATGCACCAATGTCGATTTGCTCGAAATTTGGCATAGGGTACTAGATTAAGTCTATAGTGATGTGTGTTAAGTTTCGTGAAAATCGCTTCAGATTTAGATATAGGTCCCATATGTATTTTCGTCCGATTTAAGGTAAATGGTGCACCAAAGTACCTATATAACTTTCGATTTGCACGAAATTTGGCATAGCGTACTAAATTAAGTCTAGATTGATGTGTGTTAAGTTTCGTAGAAATCGGTTCCGATTTAGATATAGCTCCCACATATATTTCCGTCCGATTTAAGGTAAATGGTGCACCAAAGTACATATATACCTACTGAATTAAGCCTAGAAAGGTGTGTGCTAAGTTTCGAGTAAAACGGTTCAGAAAATAAATAATATAAAATAAATAAAAATAAATAAATAATGGACTATATGTATAATACTATTTATTAATTAAAATAAACAATAAAAAATAATTTTGTGAGCTTTTTAAGATTCCATAATTCCATTCCTCTTCCCTCTTTCTTTCTCCATAGGACTTCATACGCCAACAAGCCGAAGGTTCACTCATACGCTATTCCAATGTTGTGGCACTCAAATGTTTGGCCCGAGTCTCAAGCGGAGATTCCCAGCCACCCTCGCATTTGGTCATTGCCACAGATATGGGTGAAATTATTATTGTGGAGCCGCAAAGTTTTGGTGTCTTGTATCGGGTTATGGCATGTCCTGACATTACCCCAAGTATGTTGGCTGTGAACGGTTGCTTTGAAACGGATTTCTGCATTGCCATTGCCACCCGTTATGGCTCCGTTTATTTGCTACGCAAAACAGCCACTGAGGGTCAAGAAATCTTTAAGCTAAGTTATCCCCTAACCGGCCTAGTCCTTCTCCCCATAGATCAAACAATTGTTGTCTCATCAATGGATAAGAAATTGGTTTGTTATTCGAAAAAAGGCAAGCAGCTGTATATGGTGCCGTTGGCGGAACAGCCCATATGCATGACAATGATAAATTTAAATCATTTGGGATTGTCGCTAATCTGTGTGGCCCTCGAAGGGGGTCTGGTGCAATTCTATATGCAAAAATATCTGGTGGATGAATTTCAAATTGAAGGCACCGTCAGTTCGATGGTCTTCGGGTATTTGGGTTTGGAGGAACATGTTTTGTGTTTGACCACCCTGGAGGGAGATTTGATTATCAAAATTCTGAAAAGGACAGCCACCTTTGAACCCAGTCAAAATGTGGCTGGGCGGGGATTTCTCAACGCCAACGATATGGTGCATTCTTCGGTTTTGGAAAAACCCAAAAAGAGCTCGATTTTTGTGGAACAGGTGGCCAGAGAGAAACAGAATGCAAAGGGTAAAAAATCGACATATTAATACCTATACATACATTTTATTGTCATTTTTTTTAATTTTCCAGCAACCTATGGCAGTTTCCAGGTGGAATTATGGCGTTTGAGGCATACAGCAGCCCGAGCCACAGTGGATGCTTTGAATTCTTCGGAACGCACCATTTCTGGAGATATTACTCATGCTCCTGTCAAATTATCGGCTGAGGTGTGTGGTGTTGGTCCCGTTTTTCGTTTATACTTGACCATACAGAATTTGTCCACCTATAAAATGGCCTCGAATTTAATGGTGCTGCTGCATGCGAATCGCAGGCATTATACCATACAAAAATCGGTGGCAAAGGTAAGCATCTATCGAATTGAAATTACAAAAAAACTATTTTTACAAAATCCACGCCTTTATGGAGGACCTTAAAAAATATTTTTACAAAATCCACGCCTTTATGGAGGACCTTAAAAAATATTTTTACAAAATCCACGCCTTTATGGAGGACCTTAAAAAATATTTTTACAAAATCCACGCCTTTATGGAGGACCTTAAAAAATATTTTTACAAAATCCACGCCTTTATGGAGGACCTTGAATATACCCTTGAAATATTTTTTATAAAAAATCCACGACAAAAATTTTGAACTTTAAAAAAATATTTTAAAAAAATCCACGCCTTGGACCTTATATTTTTACCACCCTTTATGAAAAAAAATATTTTTTACAAAATCCACGCCTTTATGGAGGACCTTAGAAATATTTTTACAAAATACACGCCTTTATGGAGGACCTTAAAAAATATTTTTACAAAATCCATGCCTTTATGGAGGACCTTTAAAAATATTTTTACAAAATCCACGCCTTTATGGAGGACCTTAAAAAATATTTTTATAAATTCCACGCCTTTATGGAGGACCTTGAATATACCCTTGAAATATTTTTTTAAAAAATCCACGACAAAAAATTTGAACTTTAAAAAAATATTTTAATAAAATCCACGCCTTATATCCACCTTGAAAAAATATTAAACCCAGTATGGAAAGGACCGATTCCTACAAAACGTGACAAATGTTAGGCAATATTGATTTCACTACGCTGTGCAAACTTTTGTATAAAACGGCCTAACTTTGGGTCTTTTGTGCACCATTTATTTAAATTCGGACGAAACTATATATAGGAGCTATATCTAAATCTGAACCGATTTTAACAAATCTTGCCACACGTTATGTTATAGTAACTTCAGTACGTTGTGCAATATGTTGTGTCAATTGGACCCACCTGGGGAGTGTGGAGCCGAATTACATCTAACTTCTAGGTTATACTAACTTCAGTACGTTGTGCAAAATTTTGTGTAAAATCGGATGAAAATATATATGTATAAGCTATATCTAAATATGAACCGATTTCAACGAGACTTGCCAGAAATAAATTTATATTAACTACAGTTCATTGTACAAAATTGTGTGGCAATCGCACAAACTTTGGGTCTTTAGCGCACAATTTACATAAAATCGAAGGAAAATATATATATAGACTAAATTAGGTACGCTATGCAAAATTTCATGCAAATCTAAAGATATATAGGGACTTTGGTACATCATTTACATTAAATCGGACGAATATATATATATGAGAGGTATATCTAAATCTGAACCGATTTTCACGAAACTTAACACACATCATTCTAGACCTACATCATTAGGCTGTGCAAAATTTCGTGCAAATCGAAGGATATATAGGGACTTTGATACACCATTTACATTAAATCGGTCGAACATATATATGGGAGCTATATCTAAATCTGAACCGATTTTCAGGAAACTTACCACTCATCATTCTAGACTCAACTTAGGATGCTGTGCCAAATTTCGTGCAAATCGAAAGTTATAGGGACTCTGATACACCATTTACATTAAATCGGACGAAAATATATATATGAGAGCTATATCTAAATCTGAACCGATTTTCACGAAACTTAACACACATCATTCTAGACTTCATTCAGTACGCTATGCCAAATTTCGTGCAAATCGAAAGATATATAGGGACTCTGATACACCATTTACATAAAATCGGACGAAAATATATATGGCAGCTATATCTAAATCTGAACCGATTTTCGGGAAACTTAACACACATCATTCTAGAACTAATTCCTTACGCAATGCCAAATTTCGTGCAAATCGGAAGATATATAGGGACTTTGGTACACCATTTACATTAAATCGGACGAAAATATATATGGGAGCTATATCTAAATCTGAACCGATTTTCACGAAACTTAACACACATCATTCTAGACTTCATTTACTACGCTATGCAAAATTTCGTGCAAATCGAATGGTATATAGGGACTTTGGTGCAACATTTACTTTAAATCGGACGAAAATATGTATGGGATCTATATCTAAATCTGAACCGATTTTCGGGAAACTTAACACACATCATTCTAGACCTAATGCAAAATTTTGTGCAAATCGAATGATATGTAGGGACTTTGGTGCAACATTTACATTAAATCGGACGAAAATATATATGGGAGCTATATTTAAATCTGAACCGATTTTTTTGCAATTTCAATAGGATTCGTTCTTGGGCCAAATAAGTGACCTATGCCAATTTTCGTCCAATTCGGATCATAAATGCGACCTATACTTTGTTTACAATTTACATTAACATCGGACATGCATAAATATATATATGAGATGCCTATTCTCAAAAGAAACCATGGGTCTATCTCTATTATTTTTGCATGTTACAAACATATGTACAAAGACATAATACCCTGTACCACAGTGTGATGATGGGTATACAAACCCGCTTCATTTTCGGCATTTTGGAAGTTTAAGCCGGATTTCTTCACCAAAGTGGTTATAATTTTGCATTTGGGGTTCTGTAGATTTAAAACCCATTTGGGCAGAGTATTTTCTATATCGGTTCAAGTTTTTATATGCCCCGGTATTTGAAGTTTTTTTGCCGCATATATATATGGGAGCTATGTCTAAATCTGAAGCGATTTTTCCCAATTTCAAAAGTGTCTTTGGGCCAAATAAGTGACCTATGCCAATTTTCGTCCAATTCGCGACCTGTACTTTGTTTACAATTTAACATGGACAGACAGACGGACGGACATATATAAATCGACTTAGAAAGTGATTTTATGCATATTCTCAAAATGAACCATGTGTCTATCTCGATTCCATTTGTCTGTTACAAACATATGCACAAAGACATAATACCCTGTACCACAGAGTGATGAAGGTTATAAAAATCCAGGCCTTGGATAGTATTTAAAAAAATCCAGGTCTTTGATAGCCTTTGAAATTAATATTTAAAAAAATCCACAGCTTGATCCACCTTGAAAAAATTTTTTTTTTAAATTTAAAATTTATTGCCTCTTCTCCTTTCTCTTCTTGATTCCAGCTCCCCAGCATTTTACCCGGTGTCCCACTCAAAATCGATTTTGAAATCGTGGCCGTTTTGGATCCAAATGATAAATTACCACCACACACATTGACACCTGAGAACTCACACATACGAGTAATGATAACCAAAACGCAGCAGACCAAACCTTTGATAGCGGCCGTCATTGCAATGCCCCAATCAGAAGCCAATTTCTAAAGCATACATTAAGGCGCACAAAAATAATATGAAACACTCAACGAAAAATAAATAAAAACCCTTTGTAAAATTTGTTGTTAATAAAATTAAATATTGGTTTATTCTATTTCTTTATGGTCATCCGCTTAAATGAGTAATTCCTTAACCATGATTCTTATGCGACTGCTGTGACTGTTTAATTTTTTGTTTAGTTGCCCTTCTTAGGCATATTTGGGAGCATACTTCTCGTAGACCTTGACATAGGCTTCCTTGGCAGCTTCTTGGCTCATACCCTTGTGAGAGTTCCAGGCTTCCCACATGGCTTTCTTTTTCAAATCCAAGGCACCGGGCTTGTCGATGTTGACATCGCCGACGGTGGCTTGCTTGAAGAGACCGTAGAATTCCAAGAATTCGGAATCGCTGGGCTTCTTGGAGAAGTTTTTGGCCAATTCACAGGCTTCTTCGAAACTAACCATGTTGATTGAGTAAAGGGGTTTGGGGTTCTAGGGAATACAAATTAAAAAATTTTAAATTGTGGATTTCTAAATCTTCGGATTCTGAAGTGTTTAATTTATTACCTTGCTCTGTTGTAAGGGTGAAAGCGAAATGATAATTTTCTCAAGTGGCCATAAACTATTTATAGTTAATTGCTTCTCTTGACCAATTGTTACGCCTGCCTGCCACACTTGCTTAAGAAAAACATTTTATTTAATTAAAAATCAAACTGATAACGAAAAAATTTCGTCACTATAATTGGTGCTCTATTGAAAAGTGTGTGAGATAGTTGATGGCGGATTTATTTTCTTATTGCAACTACTCACGTGTGTTCGAAAGATAACAGTTCAATAGTTCCGATAAGGCCCTCAATGAAATCTGGGAGATAAAAAAATAAATTAATTCAAAATTGTATTTCTTTAGATAAGGGTAGTGCTTATGCAAATCCGTTTATTCGAGAAAATAAATTAGTAATTTTGAAGAAAAAAAAGTTACTAAAAGAACGTGAATTTGAATTTTAAAAAAAAAAATTATTTTTCCAAGATTCTTAAAAAAGGCGCGGATTTTTAAAAATATTTTTTCAAGGTCCATTAAAAAGGCGTGGATCTTTTAAAAATATTTTTTCAAGGTCCATTTAAAAGGCGTGGATCTTTTAAAAAATATTTTTTCAAGGTTTCAATCAAGTTTATTTGGCCCAAGGACGAATCCTATTGAAATTGAGAAAAATCGGCTCAGATTTAGATATAGCTCCCATATATAATTTCCTCCGATTTAAGGTAAATGGTGCTTCAAAGTCCCCATATACCTTTCGATTTGCACGAAATTTGGCATGGCGTACTGAATTAGGTCTAGAATGATGTGTGTCAAGTTTCGTGAAAATCGGTTCAGATTTACATATAGCTCCCATATATATTTTTGTTCGATTTAAGGTAAATGGTGTGCCAAATTCTCTAAATATCATTCGATATGCACGAAATTTGGAACTGAATTGAGCTAAAATACAAGTAATAAGTAATAAGTTTCGTGAAAATCGCTCCAGATTTAAATATAGCTCCCACATATAAATTTGTGTCCGATTTAATGTAAATGGTGAACCAAAGTCCCTATATATCTTTCGATTTGCACTGCTCCTTCCAGGACAATTCTGCAGGGACAACTTGGGTATCATCGGAAAGCTAATGGACAGTACTTTTATCCTAGCTAATAAAATTATTAAAAAATTCCGCCCGAGTTGGGGGTATTTAACAAAAACTGGCGAAGTCCTGGGGCAAGGATAATTATTTTGCCCACTGCTCCTTCCAGGACAATTCTGCCGGGGCAACATGGGTATCATCGGAAAGCTAATTGAGAGTACTTTCTTTCTGGCTAATAAAATTATTAAAAAATTCCGCCAGAGTTGGGGGTATTTAACAAAAACTGGCGGAGTCCTGGGGCAAGGATAATTATTTTGTCCACTGCTCCTTCCAGGACAATTCTGCCGGGACAACATGGGTACCTATGGAAAGCTAATGGAGAGTACTTTCATTCTATTTTCGTTCGATTTAGTAGAAATGGTGCACCAAAGTTTGTTCAATTCCAAGACAATGTTTTTTCGAAGAGGTGACATCTGTTAGGATACGTATGTAGAATATACCCAACGTGGTGAAGGAAGGAAAATCCGGTCCGATTTTACTACTTTCCTTACTGGTTTAAAAATGTTTTTTCAATGTTCCAATCAAGTGTGGATTTTTGAAAAATATTTTTCAATTGACAAACATATATTCAACCAATGAGCGGAGCAGTATAGTCAGAAGGGACCGACCATACGATACCCTACACAACTATCACGGAACTCTAACTTTCTGCGGATGTTTATTCCAAGCCTGGGCAATATTTCGTGATATTTGCACCTTCTTGCCCAATTAGAGGTCAACAGCACCTCCTCGTTACACTGACATATATTCCGAATATTACTAATATTCCGTACAGCCCTTCTAATTACTTGTCCAGGTTCCCTTCACCGTGTCCACTTTATCCCAAAATTATTACCTGATCATCAGGGAAAATTTAACGGCGTTGTCCTTGATCACAACTGGAATCTCATGGAAATTTTTAAAGCGATCAGCACTTTATTTCCGTCGTCTAGTGTTGTAGTGGTTTATTAAATAATATCTGAATACGTAAGCACCAGTAAATATTTACGTGTAACTCCCACATCCGAGTACTTGCGGCAATATAATTGTTATGAATTGAAAGGCAAACCACTCTTCTTGGATATATTTTCAACTTCTCGACTCTATGTCCTGCAGGAGTAAATTTATTCGCCATAGAATACAAATTTTATAATTTTTCACACACAAGTCAGGGTCCATGTGACCCACTAAATATTGACGGATCTTTGTCAAAACAGGCATGTTTATTCTTTGGCCCAATCCCCTTCTCCGTGTAAAAATTTGAGATGTTTGGGCCATAATTGCGGCCTCTGGAGGGAGCAAAAAAGCCGACGAAAATTAAGTATTTGGCCATTTCATCCCCTAAATATTAAGCGATCTTTACCAAAAACAATATGGGTTTTCATTGGGCCGAACCCATCCTACATGCAAAATTTCGTGAAGATTGGTTCATAACTGTGGCCTGTATCGTGTTTACAAATTATAATGGACAGACGGACGGACGGACGTTTGAAATGCTCTGATAAACAATCACGGGGAGGGACATTTTGCAAAAACATTGCAAAAATTAATCAGTGGCAGTTATGACAATGTTCGAATATTATCAGAATGCCTATGTATATTTTAATACAGTGAATATATAATATATAAATAAATTGGTATTGCTGTTTATCGCATTGGCGACAACAACAAAAATATAACTTAAATTATATATTTAATGACCCATTGCTGGCTAAGGCAGGTACGTATGTATATATTTTTAAATTTATAAAGGGGCCTTTATACGTTTTCAAATTATTTTCTGTACAAAATATATATGCCGATCAAAATAATTTTAAATTTAAATTGACTTCTCTATTCAGAATTACTGTGCCATCATTGCGTATACGTATTGTCATAACTCATACTCTTCGTAATTTTATGGAACAGATAATTCAATTGAAATTTCTCTACTACTACTTTCAAAACAAGGACTTATACTTTTTTTGAAACATTTTTATCGCTCTCAAAATTACAGTAAATTATGTTGAAACCAGTGAGCGGAGCAGTATAGTAGGACGGGGCCGACCATATGATGCCCTACACAACTACCACAAAAATAAAACTTTCTGCGGTTCTATATTCTGAGCCTGGGCTATATTTCGAAATATTTGCACCCTCTTGACCGATTTTAGGTCAACAGTTCCACTTTCTAACCATGGCATATTTTCCAATTTTTTTTTCTTGAAGTGAATTTTTACGCCTTAAAAAAATTGTCACTTTAGGTTTTGGTTGATTTTACCCTCGTAATATTGACCGATCATCATCTAAACATCCGCTCTAAGTATTTGGTCAAATCACCTTCACCTCGTAAAATATGTGATGTTCTGCATATAATAATTGCCTCTAGAGCGACTAGAAAATCTGACAAAATAAAAGATTTTGGTTCATTGCATCCCCTGAATGAAATCTCAACTTCACCGAAAACTATAGGCGTCGTCCTTGACCATAATCGGAAGTTTATGTACAATTTCAAAGCTATCAGCGCGACATTTCCGTCCTCCAATGGAGTAATAGTAATATTATGCGCATAGTCACCTTTACCTAATTACGTATAACTCCCACATCAGAGTACATGAAGCCTTAAGTTTGAAATCAATTTGAAGGTCAACAACTCCTCTTGGCTATACTATCAACTTCTCGGATATATGTCCTTCCGGAGCAAGTATATACGCCCCAATTTTTCATACAAAAGTCAGGATCCATTTGACCCGCTACATATTGACCGATCTTTATCAAAACAGGCATGCTTATTCTTTGGCACGATCCTCTTCTCCATGTAAAATTTCACGATGTTCGGACCATAAATGCGGCCTCTGGAGCGACCAGAAAAAGCGACAAAAATTAAGTATTTGGTCCATTTCATCTCTTAAATATTAACCGATCTTTACCAAAAACAATATGGGCTTTCATTGGGCCGAACCTATGCTCCATGCAAAATTTGGTGAAGATTGGTCCATAATTGTGGCCTGTATCGTGTTTACAAATAATAATGGACGGACGGACATACATGTCTAGATCGACTCAGCTATTCGAGATATGACGATCGGTATACTTAAAGGTGGGTCTAGCACCAATATTTCGCGGCGTTACAAACTCTTGGGGCTGCACAAAGCTATAATACCCTGACAACATAGTTGTGTAGAGTATAATTACCTATAGCGGAACATTTCTACAAACATGTGTTTCATCCTCTAAGAACCAAATTATAGCCGCATCAGTGAAGAAATATGGCTAAAACTTACTAATATCGAAAACAGAGCGTAACCTTTTTATAGACGCTATACAAAAAACGTGTACCGATCTATCCCATTTGTAATATGAAACATCCTAGAAGTAGTGGCACTTTTTGCACAAAATTTCAAAGCTTTAACTTACATATTGCAATCTCTATCGATATATCAGTAAAAGGAATGGGGAACATGGCTAAATCGGCAATTTTATTCTGATCAAGAACATCTTGATCATCATGGGTTCTCCGACGAATATTTCGAGTTCTTGCAAACAGAATGACAAATTGTACAAAAATTTGTAGCAATCACCCTTTTTTCTCGTGAAAATAGTAGAACGTATGACTAACGATAGCAAGTGTACGCACTAATGGATTTCCCATTCTTAGGTGTGGAATAACAAGGAATTGAAATAAGAAGTGATTCATCATAAGCATTTCGGTAAGGATTTTTATAACCAATATTTAGTCCTCAGGATTCAGTTCCGGATTGTTCAGCATTTTTCCTTAACTCTGAAGTTCCGTTTTAATATTTCTCGTATTAGCTTAATATGAATAATCGATCAAATTAGTACTCAAAATTTATTTCTTATTAACAAAATCCAATAAATTCTCAGTAATTTTATTCCGAGCATTTTTTTCGATAAAAACCTGTCTCCAGATTACAAATTTCTTTTAGAAAAAAAATAATAAATAAATAACGTATTTGCCCTAGAAAACAGTGGTGCGTATGACTTACGACAGCACGTATACGTACGTAAAATAGTGATTCATCTTAAGCATTTAAGTTAGAATTTGAAAAAAAAATTAATCCATACTAATAAAAATAGTAGAAAATACTACCATTGCTAAAGTGAAAATCAGTCCTTACCAACCTGTCCTTGTGATACACAATTTTTTTATAAAGAAACATTGAACGCAGGATCTCTTCTATAGAGAGAAGAGATCGACCATACGATACCCTACACAATTACCACGGAACTCTAACTTTCTGCGGATGTTTATTTCGAGCCTGGGCAATATTTCGTGATTAGAGACCGATTAGAGATCAACAGCACCTCTTCCTTTCACTGACATATTTTCCGAATATTCCCAATATTCAGTACACACATTTTAATTACTTTTCCGGATTCCCTTCACCGTGGTTTATGTTGTGATGCTTGGCTTATAATTGTGGCCTACAGGCCGACTCGAAAAAACACAAAAAATATAGTATTCGATCCATTTAATTCTAAAATTATTATTTGATCATCACCGAAAATTATAGATGTTGTCCTTGACCATAACTGGAACCTCTTAAACACTTTTCAACGTGATCAGCACTACATTTCAGCCCTCTAATGTTAATGGCTTACTAAATAATATATATGAATACGTAAGCACCTGTAAATATTTAAGTGCAACTCCTACATCCGAATACATACGACAATATAATTGGTATTAATTTAAAGGTCAACAGCTCCTTTTGCATGTACTATCAACTTCTCGGATCTATGTCCTTCAGGAGTAAATAAATACGCCATAGAATACAAATTTTGTAATTTTCCACACAAAAGTCAGGGCTTATTTGACCCTCGAAATATTGACCGATTTTTATCAAAACAGGCATGCTTATTCTTTGGCCCGATCCCCTTCTTCATGTAAAAATTCGCGATGTTTGGTTCATAATTGAGGCCTCTGTAGCGACCAGAAAATCAGACAAAAAAGTTTTTGGTCCATTTCATGCCCTAAATACTAACCGATCTCTACAATGGGGGTCTTCATTGGCCAGATCCCATCCTTCATGCAAAATTTCGTGAAGATTGGTCCATAACTGTGGCCTGTATCGTGTTTACAAATTATAATGGACAGACGGACGGAAGGATGGACACACATGTGTAGATCGACTCAGCTAGTCGAAATATGACGATCGGTATACTTAAAGGTCTAAGAGTCTAGGACCAACATTTCGCGGCGTTACAAACTTTGGGGCTGCACAAAGCTATAATACCCTGACAACATAGTTGTGTAGGGTATAATTAATAGAAAATAATGTATTTGCCCTAGAAATCAGTGAGACGTATGAGTTTTGACAGCACGTATACGCAATGGCGGAATGAAACTTTTGGTCTAGAATTGCCTGCTTCATTGAAGTAAACACTTTCGGGAAAAAGTGTTAAGGACTCATTACTTTTTCCACAAACAAAAATCAATTCGACGATTAATAAACAATAATCCTTCCGAATCAGTCCTTGCATTATAGAATGTTACGCAGGATCACTATAAACAAGAATCAAATGTCTGCTTCTGAATAATTTGTTGTTGATTAATTTTTATCAATAGAAATATGATTTCAAATCCATTAAAAAATCAAAAAAAAAAAATTATATATATGAAAAAATATAAAAATTAAAAAAATAGTAGAAAATACTCCACTGACCAAAGTAAACGGGAGGCGTGTGCGTTTTGACAGCACTTATACGGCATACTGGAATTCAGTAACTTTGGATGTATAACTTTCAATTTTATTGATATAAATAATGAAATGAAAATATTAATTTAAGCCAGATTCAAGAATTTTGAAATGTATTATTAGTTTTCGTAATGTTCAGAGCGTATACGTTCTGTCATAACTTATACGCCATATATATTTTTATTAAATATTTAATATATTAACAAAAATAATATTAAGTATTTAAAAACGAATTATTTTAAACTATCACATAAAACTATTTCTTTTAGGCCACAATTTTCGTATTAACATTATACCATAGAATGACTAAACTATCAAACCTTTGCCATAATCAAACCATATTTGGTTTAATTCGTGGGGGAAATCACACAGCAAAAATATATTCAATATATATTTTTATTATTTCAGGTGAATTACTGAGTAATGCCTACATAGCAACAACAACAATAACGTAAACTGCCACCGAAATAGATAACATGATGTATTACTAATATTATGTTTATTGGAAAGTAAAACCCCCTCCCTTGGCCTTTGGTAACTTCTCACCCAACCGTGAAACACTATCTAACTTTCTAAGTGCAGTGAGATAAGATTTGCCTTAAATGATAAACATTTTTTTTTCGCAAATGCACAAATAATCGAAACAACAACAAACCCATGTCTAATCAAATTCATATATAAATCGGTGATTTAGTTTGGAACAGTATTATTTGTTGCTAAATCAGTAAACAGTAAACAAGCAAAACCTAAACAACATGTTGACCGTAAGTTTCAATAAACTAAAATATAAAAATTAAATCAAAAATAATAATTTTTGATATTTTCCCTCCATTGCAGTTCGAAGAAATCGTTGAAAAAGCCAAGGCCTTCACCAAAAAGCCAACCCAAGAAGATTTCTTGGAATTCTACGGTTACTACAAGCAAGCCACCGTTGGCGATTGCAACACCGATGAACCCGAAGATGCCGTCCGCAAGGCCATGTGGAACTCCTGGAAGGAAAAAGCTGGCATGAGCGCCGAAGATGCCAAGGCTAAATACATTGAAGTCTATCACAAATATGCTCCCAAATACGAATAAATCGTGGGTTTGGCGTAGATAGATAGGGTTTCATCTTAGGTTGTTCTTTATTAATTTATTTTTTGTTTCTCTTGGATAGTTAAAAATATGTTTTTTTGTGTGTTCATCAATAAAACAATGAAAAACTGAAGGAAAAAAATTAAGTTTTATTTAAAACAATTATATTTAGTGACCAATATCCAAAGATTAAGAACATCATGTTTATAACATATTATAACATGAAATTTTTAATATAAAAATTTGTATTCAGATTGGTTTTGTATAGAACAAATTTAAATATATGAATATTTATTTTTTATAAACATTTGTAGATAGGAATCCGACCTCACTGTCTCCTTTATTTATATAAGAAATCAAGACAAATTTGCAGAAACGACTGCATAATTGATGACAGTACGTATACGCAATGATGGTAAGTGTTGACTGTCATCGAATGGCGACAAAAAGTTTACTGGGTGTGCTAGTTTTACATAGAAAACTTAGTCCTCAGAAATCCAGGAGTATTTTTTCGATAGAAATCTGACTGCCGATTTCAAATGTCTTTTAGAAAAAGTATGAAATATAAATATAATAGAAATTAATAGAAAATAATGTATTGGCCCTAGAAAACTTTGGGACGTATGAGTTTTGACAGCAGGTATACACTAAGCTGAAATGAAACTTTTGATCTAAAGTGACATTTCATTAAAGTAAACAATGTCGGGAGAAAGTGTTAAGGACTCCTTACTTTAGAAAAGGATTTTTATAAATGAACAATTTTGAGGATTTCTTTATACGCAATGATGAATGGATTGAATTATGAAGTGTTTAATACATTTTTTAATAAACACTCCTCAGATTAGTCTATTGAAAATGTTATTCACGTATTTTATAAAAATAATCTTATAAATAAAAATCTGTCAATACAGACAGACATATTTTTCTATAAAAAAATAAATACTCCTGAAAATATTTATGTAGTCAAAATCAGACGTTACCCCTTTGAGAAATATTCTATACATATGTGACGTATGAGTTACAACAGCACGTATACGTAATTACGAAATATAAATTATATGGGTGGAATGATCTGCAAAATTCATTAAAAACGTATTTAAACTTTGAGTGTAAATAATTGGATTCTATTCAAAAGCATAAAAAAACGCTTTGTATGGCTTCAAGAGTTTTTAATGCCGTTAAAAAAATATTCTAGACCTTTTGGTAATCCCATCGTCATATTTCAACGTGTTTCCGTTTGTCTGTCCAATATAATTTGAAAACGCAGTTATCGTCAAGAAATTTTGCATGTAGATTCGGTTCGGCCTAAAGAATACCCCTATTGTTTTACTTTGGTTGTTTCTGCTTGTCGCTCTAAAAGAGCGAATATCTCGAAATATTAAACGAAGAATGGGATGATTTTCATGATAATCTGTCAATATTTAGCGGGTCAAATGGACACCGACTTCTGTGTGAATAATGACAACATTTGCATTCTATTGCGGATGAACTTTCTTCCGACTTTCATAGACCTGCGAAGTTGACACTATTACCAAGATGAGTGGCATTTAAATTGGTACCAATTATATTTTTGTACATTCTCGGATGGGGGTAAATAATAATATTATATATATATATATATATATATTATAATATAAATGGACAGAAACAGAATATAAATCAGCCATGCTCAGTCATACACGATACCGTAACTGAGCGAGGACGCTTAAACAAACATTCTATTTTCTCTGTTTTTATCAGTCGTTTTTAATAATGAATTTTCAATTAAGCTCACCCACACTTACTCTCAATATAATTAGGCCCACCACTGATATAGATCCACAGAAAGTTAGAGTTCAGTAGTCGTTGTATAGGGTATCTGTTGTCTATTTTGCGTTTGATTTTTTAGAAACCTGAACTCTACATTGATTCCATGAAATTTGTAGCACGTACGCCCAATGATAATGATTCACAATTCAGGTGTGGTTTTGAGAAAAACAAAGAAGGAATGTAACATTAAATGCTATAATTTTAGAGTTTTCATAAAAAATGGATAATTAATCAAAGGTCCAATGGTTTCTATATTCCTTCGATTCGTCGATTATAAAACTGATTTACAATAACTCAGGATTTTTTTTTTTTTTTTTTTTTTTTTTTTTTTTTTTTTTTTTGAAAATCTCAGTTCACATGATTTTGTCCATGGGAATGGTGGCAAACATAAATTCCTTAATTATTTTTATTCCGTTGATTTTTTGTCTATGGAAATGTAAATTAAGTGTCCAATGTACATACAAGTGTCGACAGCTCGTATACGCAATGATTCAAAATAAAAAGTGACGATTTTTTCCGTGACGGAAAACAAAATATAATAGCGGTGCATATTTTCAACTATTTTATTTTTTGAAAATTGACAACATTTGTAATCTATAGCGTATATATTTACTCCTGATCCAAGTGGTTGACCTTTAAATTGATACCAATTATATATTCGTATGTACTCGGATGTGGGAGTTACACGCAAATATTGAAAAGTTCTTCCGTGTTCAGAAATCATTTAGTAACCCATTACCATACTGGAGGACGGAAATATAGTGCTGATCGCTTTGAAATATTCCATGAGGTTCCAGTTATGGTCAAGGACAACGCCTATAATTTTCGGTGATGATCAGATAATAATTTTGGGATGTAGTGGACCGAAAACTTATTTTTTGTGTTTTCATGAACCGCATAAGTTCTTCGTCCAAAATACGGCAATTTAGTTTTTATATACAAATTAAGCCATAAAAAGCATGACAAGAATCACATGTGATCTGTCGAAAAATCATATTGAAAAATGTATGTGGATCTTAGTATATACCCAGTAGAAAATACTCTCATGCTTGACAATTTCGTGAACGAAATTGATGGAATTGTCCTAATAACTAAACACGATATGTCGTCGAAAATGTCGTTATTCTCGCAATATAATAACAAAACAAAACCGGTGAGCGGAGCAGTATAGTCGGACGGGGCCGACCATATGATACCCTACACAACTTCCATGAAAATCTAACTTTCAGTGGTACTACATTCTGAGCTTGGGCAATATTTCGTAATATTTGTACCCTCTTGACCGACTGGAGGTCAACAAATATTACTAATATTCAGTAAATCCCTTCTAATTACTTGTCCAGATTCCCTTCACCTTGGGTTGTGTTATGATGTTCGACTTTCAATTGTGGCCTATATATTGACTAGAAAAAACACAAAAAAATTAAGTTTTCGGTCCACCTCATCCCAATATTATTATCTGATCATCACCGAAAATTATAGGCGTTATCCTTGACCATACCTGGATCCTCATGCAAAATTTCAAAGCAATCCGCGCTGTATTTCCGCCTCTAGTGTGGTAATGTGTTACTAAATAATATCTGAGTACGTAAGCACCTGTAGATATTTAAATGTAACTCCCACACCCGAGTACATAAGTATCAATTTAAAGGTCAACCACTTCTCTTGGATATACTATCAACTTCTCGGTTCTAAGTCCTTCAGGAGTAAATATTTAAGCTATAGAATACAAATTGTCATTTTTCACATAAAAGTCAGGGTCCATTTGACCCGCTAAATATTGACGGATCTTTATTAAAACAGTCATGCTTATTCTTTGGCCCAATCCCCTTCTTTATATTAAAAAGATGTTTGCCCCATAATTGCTGCCTCTGGAGCGACCAGAAAAACTGACAAAAATTGCGTATTTGGTCCATTTCATCCCCTAAATATTAACCTATCATTACCAAAATAGGTGTCTTCATTCGGTAGAAACAATCCTACATGCAAAGTTTCATTAAGATTGGTCCATAACTGTGGCCTGTATCGTGTTTACAAATTATAATAGACAGACGGACGGGCGGGCACACATGATCTTGATCGACTCAGCTAGTCGAGATATGATGGTCGATATACTTAAAGGTGGGGCTAGGACCAATACTTCGCGGCGTTACAAACTCTTGGGTCTGCACAAAGCTATAATACCCTGACAACATAGTTGCGTAGGGTAAAAAAATGTATATTTTTATTTGAATTTTAAATGGGGTACGATTGATGAAAAAATTGATGACAACAGGTATTTAGTCATCAACGACTGTTCAAACGACCGGGTAAGTGAATCAGTCGTTAACGAAAGATAGGGATTCTAGTCGCCGAAGTTGTCGTCAACGACAGTATTACTTACCCTGTCGCCCAAGTTGTCTTGCATGAATACTGCGACACGTGTGTGAAAACTTCGGCAAAGATCTCACATCGTTGTCTTTACGATTGTCTTACACGATACGTTAATGTTGTCTGCAATACACTTTCTACTGGGTATATACGAAAAATAACTCAGAACATTATTTTAATACTCTAATAAATATCTTAAAAATTATTTGTGTTAGACTAAACCTGTCCCAGTCATCATGTGGCGTATGAGTTGTGCCAGCACTTATACGTAATGGTTATATGGAAATTCTATGGATTTTAGTACAATTCATACGGATCGAATAATTAGCATTACGATTTTGGTAAAAAAATGATTAATGTGAATTTCGAAAATATTTTATCTTTTTTTGTTTCAAATAGCTGTTTTGATGAAGATCCGTCAACATTTAGCGGATCAAAAGGACCCAGACTTATGTATGATTTACAAAATTTGAACGGCTGTTTAGGTGATGATTGGTCAATATTCCGAGGGTCAAATTAACCAAAACCTGAAGTGACCAAATTGTTATTTTATGTCCTAAATATGCACCTCGGGAAAGCAAAATTTGGAAAAAATGCCAGGGTTAGAAAGTAGAACTGAAATATTTCCAAGGCTCAGAATATTTAACCGCCGAAAGATATATTTTCGTGGTAGTTGTGTAGGGTATAATATGATTCACCCCGTTCAGCTGATTTTGACTCACATTCTGTATGTGTCATTTTATGACTAAGAAATGTATAAATTATGCAATTCATTGGAAAAATTGCAACCAGAAAAATAACTAATCATAATAATTTTAAAAATTAATCATCGC